AAACCACCTCACCAGTACAGTTACTATCACATCTCCCCAACTACTCTAGCTTGGCAAACCACGCTAATCAAATCACGCGCAGGAAAAGTAAATAATATGAGAAGATATTTGGAAAGCTCAAGTAATGTTCTTATGCAATCCTGTACATGCTATTCAACAAATACTAAATATGTTCTGAACCATACAAATCACAAGACAAAAACATGTTTGGCTTATAATAAGCTCATTTAAGAATAGAAATACCAAATCTCCACTATTAAGGCATGAAGTCTTCTAGTATAGCAATTATTTTGGCTGGATGAAAGCAGTTTTTGTCACCCATTCATCTTTTCATCTCCACCATTTACCATGACACTGGACACACAGCCACGCTAATTGATGTACCAACCATACTCAAATTAAGAATTATTTCTCTTTCCAGCATGTGACCTAAACTGTTTTTCTCGCTTTAAATTTGCATCAATCTAGTTTCTTCATACCATTAACATTTCTGGTACATCTGAGCGTCAGTGTATTTATCTCATTAGAACTTGTATAGGAAATGTAATATTTTTTCTTAAGAAACAGCTATTTCCCTCTTTACAGAATTTTCTATTTTTTTTTACATATTTTCTAATGAAGTGAATAAAAAATGTTAACAATACCATCATTGGTTCAGTATGAGTCAGAAGTCCTGACTACATAAATTGTAGGCCCATTTTTGGAATAACTGCAACTCTAGCACTCAGATTGTACAACTGAGTCAGTTTCCATGGAATCCCCACAGCAAGAAACAGAGTTCCCATATGAGCCACTCAAGAGAAATCCTTTAAACCCAAAAGACAGAAATCTCACTTGAAAAAGTAGGATTTTGACACCCTAAAATGATCTATTTCTACTCCATTGCTAAGAGTAGGTTCTATCCTTTGAGTTAATCTGGGAGCCCAAGAATCAGATAAGATCCAGCCTGCAAGGACTTCTTTACTCAGTCATCTTTACTATTTCAGGTATAAACTACTGATATGGCACAGGTACCTCCTATTGAACTATTTACCAGTTATTTTCAATAATGATTCCAAATCAATGAAAATATAGAAAATATATGAAAATTCAGAGAACAAAGCTTCCTTTCCTCACATAACTGATGCTGTATTTAATATTGGTAGTTTACCTTAAAGACCAACAGCTCTAAGGCTGGTCATCAGAAGCAGCATTGAGATTTTTACAAGAATATCTCTACATTAAAGCTTATTACCAACCTGGTCCCAATATTCTGCACTTTCAACAATGGTGACAAAATACCTTCCTCGCTATGTTTCTAAATGGCCACTTTGAGAGGGAAGACTATATGTATAGCTGAAAAATACTAATGATCACTTTAATTCTCCAATCAACAAACACATTCATTCCTCATTTGGGCTAGATACAAGGGATACTACAATGAACAAGACACAACCTGTGCCACTGGGTCTAGGGACTCTACTTTGTCTTCTTTCTGTCAAGGATATTATACCAGACCACTCAAAGTAACAGTCCACAGGAATACACTGAATCTGAAACAGGCCACATTGTCACGCATTCTTGAACAAAGTAAGGACAATCCAAATCACTTATATATTCAAATGTGTTTTGAAAAAGTACAGTTCAGGAGGGTGGTGGGAGAGGATGGGGTGCGGTGAGGGGCACAGCCTTGAAGTCAGAACAATCTAAATTCAATCCACACTCTTAAAATTTACTCCTGTCTTCGAGTAAATCATTTTCCACTGGGAATGGCACCACTATTTCTCCCACCCACTGGTGGAAGTGTTCTGTGTTATCCCAGTGACCAGAAGATGCTACTGGCAATTAGTAGGTGGGTCATGGATGCCAAACGTCCTGCAAAGGACAGGGAAGTCCAGTTTAAAGATCCTTACACCCAAACTACAATAGCATCTACCACTCTGCACTCTGCCGCTCTCAGTTTCTTCAACTGCTGGAGGGTTGTAAAGTGTGCCAACCTTTCACACTGAGTGTGTGGTTTAACTGAGATGTTACAAGTACCCAGGTAATGCAAGGTAAATGCACAGTTAGTCCTTGATAAACTATTTTCACCTTCCTGGCTCCCTTCTGACTTTCTAACACTGCAAGGAGCTCATTCTCTTTTCTTTCTTTTTTCTATTTTTCTTTTCCTTTTCTGAGACAGGGTCATATTATGTTGCCCAGGATAGAGGTTGCCATCTTCCTGCTTCAGTCGCCCAAGCAGCTTGGATTCCAGGTACGTGTCACTGCCTCCGACTCTGCATGGAGCTCATTTTAAATAGGTCCATCATACATGATACAGAAAAAAAAAAAACGTGCACAATTATCAAGGAAGCAGGTCTTCCCACAATTTTCTTATTTCAGCAATATCTGTTTAGTAGGTTTTTTGTAAAAATTTTCTGAACTCGAAGTCAAGGGTCAAACACTATATAGAGACTCTTAAGGATCAGTCAAGCAACCTGACTTGCTGCCTTTTTCAATATGCATGGCTCCTAAAGCGTCATAAGCCTCTGCAACCCTTTGTTTAACCTATAATAACTTGTTGTCTATTTTCATCTCTTGGCTAACTTCTGTATGTATAGAAACATTACCAATTCCTTGAAAACCATTTAAAATCACCTACACCGTGAGGCTACTCTGGTGTCCCCTACCCCTTCTAATGAGCTAGTCCTCCTGTGATCATAAACTAGGCTGACACTGCAGCAATGACTCAAACTGTGATTCACAGAACACCGAAAGATCTCAATTTTGCTGTAAATACTTCAACTGCTGCTTTCATTTCAACATAACCTAAAATAACATAAGCACTTCTTGGATCTGGTCATCCAACATGAGTTCTGTCAAGCAACCTAAATGCAAATATACACAGGATTGACGTTAATAAGTGTTTTTAAACTGCTGAATGTGAGAACAGAACACAGCAATTTCAATAAATAATATATTCACACCATGTAAGGCCCAAACAACTTTAAAACATCATAAAAACAAAGGTTCTCAGGGGCCCAGGATCTAGCTCAGCGGCACAGCGCCTCCCTGGCAAGTGCAAGGTAGTGAGTTCGATTCCCGGTACCGGAAAAAAGCCAAAAAAAAAAAACGAAGGTTCTCCTATGGTTCAAATAGGAAAATCCCGGAGGTTTGTCAAAGGTCATGTTCAGCATTTACAGCAAGTGCTAAACATGTTACAGATTAGTATCACTGTTCTCAAATGGTCTTCTGCATTTCTCAAAGCTCCTTAAAACTCCTTTCTCATTCGTGTTTACATCCTTACCACGCCAAGCACATCATGCCTATAGCTGACTCCACTATATCTAAAACTACCACTAGAAAAGGTAAACCGTACTCTTATTAACCCTAAAAGTTTTTCCTGCCACAAAGAAAAAACAGCCAAAATAGCTTTTCATTTTGAAATAAAATCACAGTGACAAACTGCAATTCTGTTTCCAATCCTGTTAACATCAGGGTGTTGTGTTGCTGGGACACCGGGTACTACTAAATGGGTCCACTTGTTTCATTAAACTCTCAATAATGGCTTTGTGTTTGTTTATATCCTTGAAAAGACAGATTTAAACTCATGTACAATAATAAAGCAACGACACAAGGCATTATCTGCTATCCCCTTAACATGTGGCAAGTTCTAAAAAATGATGCAGAGAAAAATTAAAGGTTTATATGCACACAATTAAGACTTTCATTGTCAAAAGTACAGTCTGTTCCTATCTGGTGGTGATGAGAAAGAGAAGTGATAGGTAGAGGAGGAACTGACTGCTAAAGTGGTTAGCTCCAGGCAGAAAAGAGAATGGAAAAAAGCTTTAAAATGGCAAATAGGCCAGGAAGGTAGGCAGCATTTCAGGACAGTGCTGATATGAACCCGAAACTGGCCTGCTTATTCCTTTCCAATACTGACACCCCAAGTTCCGGACTTGTGCGGAGTCTACTTGGGAGCTCTTTTAAAGACTGTTTTCATATTCCCTTGGGTTGCTAGTGCTGTTACAATGATGGCAGGCACCAGAGTCTGCCCATCTGACAACGTGGTTCCGACCTGTCAGACTTGGAAACTATTTTTAACGACTGTGTAACTTTGAATTTTAAACCTCCAACAGTCAGGGCGACAATAGCTGAAACTTCCCAGAAAAATAACTAGTCAATTATTCCAAGCTGGAGCTGTCTGGGAAATATGTATTTTATTAACAGATGGTCATAATGGAAGTTTCACAAGCAGAGAAACTGAGGAAGACAAAGGACTGAAATCGCACCGCAGACCGTGAGTACCAGACCTGACCCCTCGGAAGCCCCAGGAGCTCGGAGCGGGAAGCGAACACCGCTCTGCGGAGCGCGTCCCCCGCCGCGGACAGCTCTTCCCCTGCAGCCGGGCGCAGGCGGCGGGGGAGCCTCGCCCCAAAGTTTACAGAACTCCACGGTCGCCCTGTCTCCGCCTCCTCCGGGACGGGCGAAAGGGCTCGGCACGGACACTCGGTGAGCCCGGTGCTAAAGGCAGCCATCCTCACCCGGCGGCGGAGCGAGCCGCGGAAGGCGCGGTCCGAGGTCGCCCAGCTCGGGCACAGGCTCCGCAGAGGCGGGAGCGCGGGGAGGCGGAGCCGTTCCAACGCCGGGCAGCCCTGGCGGAGTCTCCAGAGCCCGCACCGAGAGCCTCCAAAGCCGTTCCGAGGGGACCCAGGTAGGCGTCAGCCCGGCCCGAGGGGCGCCCGCAGCCCTGCCTGCTCGGCTCGGCCTCGGCGCTTCCCAAGCCTCCGGGCGGGCGCGAGGGGAAGGGACGGGGACGGGCGCGGGGACGGGACGGGCGCGGGGACCGGACGGGAGCGTGTGGGGACGAGGACCAAGGACCGGGACAGGGACGGGGGGACCGGGACGGGCCGGGCGGCGCGAGGGCTTTACCCAGGGGAGCCGGCGAGGGGGGACGAGAAGGCGGCTTCAGCGAGGAGACAGAAGAACGGAAAGCGGCCTGAGAGCGCCCGCGGCGGGCAGCACCGCACCCCGGCTCCCACCTGGCAGCGGCCCGGCCCGGGGCGGACGGCGGGCTCGGCCCCGTCTTCTCCTCCTCTTCCTCTTTCTTGTCCCGGGAAAGGCTGCGGGGAGCGAAGAACCGGGAGAAGCTGTGCCACGGGGCACTGCCCCTCCTCCGGCCGCCGGACATCTCCCCGCACGTCCGCCGCCCCGGGCCGCGCGAGAGGAAGCGACAAGCCGGCGCCGGAGCCCG